TACGCAAAGGGCTTACTATATATATATATACGTACAGGAGGTCATACTTCTTTTTCTATTACGTTATGACTAGACACTAAAACCGAGACACTCGACTAGAGCTTTCCTCTACGACTGTTTCTAATTAAGTGTATACATATTTCTCTTTCCTAAGGAGTTGTCTTGCTTCCATAATGACGTGAAGCCTGGCAGCTCAAACAGGTATTAGGTACCGGCAATGGTTTGCTAAGTGGAGTGCGTTTCAGGCTGCGCGTGCTTCAACAAGACACGATATAAGGTAAAAGAGGGTAAAGGTTTTTCCCGTTCTCTCAACTATTATTATCGTCCAATAGCAGTCTATCGCTATAAATGAAACGAATCACATTGACGGACGTCTTGAATAATTAGCAAACCAGCTCAAATAGCTAAGCTGAATGGAGCTAGCCCTGTCAACTGTTAGTTCATGAATATTTAAGTTATTAATTTATTTTATGTTAAACAGAATCATTATACACAGACAATGTTCATTGGTCATCAAATGATATTTCCATCAAAACTCAGGACGGTTGGTGAATGGTTTAATGGAAGTCTACTGTCTCTAGCTTGCTATGGACGAAAGGCAGCACGAAATGTTTTGATCATTTTGTGCTGCCAAAGAAAGCGTTTTTTGCGTTTTGCGTAATTGATCGTAGTACTGAAATGAGCAAAACTTGGAAGGAAGCGAAAAATTACTGCTGCTTTTTCGTTTTCTATTTTTTTTATCGACATATAATAGGGCAATAATGTACACCCGATTCAGCGGTCGAAATTATTAAGGGGAAATCTGGTGACTAATCATCGTATATCCCTGTCATACCAAATGCTAGTTATAGCCGTCAAACGAGGTGTCACTAGCATTGGACACGCCTTGGTAAAGCTCAGTAAAAAATGTCACTGTTGCACAGAATAAACTTGCAAAAAAAATTCAAACGAGTTAATACATGTCAGTGGATCACTAAGACAAATGGGGTTCGAAACCGAGGGCAGACATATTTCGTTTCGTATTGCAGATCAGGCCTTTGAAGAGGTGCCCAACATCGTGTCGGAGGTACACTCGAAACACTTAGCAGTATCTTGATATTGTTGTAAAACTTATTTCATATTCGAAAAAAAAATAAAAAAAAAAAAAAAAAACGTCCCTCTTATTGACGCGAAATGTTATCTTCAATTCACTATCGATAGTCATCGTCCATGGAGAATTGCCCCACCGAAGCGAAGTCGATTAGTCATCGAACGATTATTTTGAAAGACGAAAACGACCAGCTTTGCAACGCTAACCGTTCACGAATAAAAAGTTAATTGATGCCATTAACGGTAACTGGATCAATACAGCGTATTACTGTGAATGGTTAGATGATGAATTTATACTAGGTTTCTCTCAGCTGCGTGAAAGACTACGTGTGCCGCAGTTCCACGACTGTAGCCGCTATCGTACGGAACGTCGATGGAGTTCTGCTATTTTCTATTCCATCCGCCTGGGCCAAGAGAACCGACCTCAGTTTCTCTACAAAATTCTGCCAAAAACTGCTTAAGTACAAAACAACCTAGAAAAAAAAAAACAATACAAGAGGGATTAGACTTTTTAAGGCCCCCTGATGTTCACCTCGAGGAGTTGATTCGTTCACTCGGTGGATAAGTTTTTAAAGCGCTCTGTAATATGTCAAGGCTTCACGGAGTTAGTCTAGGTTTCATAAATCGCGACAAACATTATAGAGGCTTCATGAATTACGTATGAGGCTTGACTTGAACCTGATTTAGATTTCCGCTTGTAGTCGCTGCTGGAAGTTCCCTCACGAGTCAACTCACTTACGGTTACAATAATCGAACTTGTACAGCATAATCATGAATAGATAAACTGTTAAAAATTTGTTAATATTCCTGGATAGCTAAGTCTTCAGATACCATAAACGTAAAACTCTTTCTCATTCTGCTTTCTTTGAATGCCCGATCTGTAAATTTTACTGTATATCCTCGGAAGCCCCGCGCGTTGCTACGATGGTTGTTCGTCTTGCGAAAAAGACTTGTAGACCCCGTAGACCGTCGAAAGGGCACCCCTTCACCCGTACAGTTGTATTGATGATTTTGTTTGACCCGCATCATATTGCAGGGAACACAAACACCGGACTTATTTGCAGGAACATTGTGACGTTTCTTATTTAAGTCAAACAACGTAAATGTAATAGGTTTTCCTAGCTGATTTCAGTCTCTCTCGCAATGACAACACCAATCGATAGAACTTTAGATAATTTTCAATTATTAGAATCTCCACTTTATTTTCTATTGGTTTTGGTGTATCTTAACATACAAAGAAACTAACTGTCTTTCCAGCAGCAGCACGCCTATCATTTTCCTAGTGTTCGGCTTTGTGAAAGTGATTAAATACGCCGCTTCATAATTTGGTCTAACAGGTTGAGAATCTATTTCATCTTATCTGAATTGGACTGTTAAAAAAATATATGATATAAGTAAGACATGAATCTACGGTTCTTGTATAGGGCATAGCTGCGTATTGATTTTTGTCTTTTAAGTGGAAAGCCTGAATTTCGCTAAGTGAGCTAGTCAGGCCTCCTTGCAACAGGACGAGCCCGCTTTAATTTAAGGCCGCAAGTGCCAGAAAAGTGAATAGAAACTTCACTGAAGGAAAACAGAGCTAGATGATGCGAACGTGGGGAGTAATTATCATTGCTTTAATGGAGAGAATTTGCGTGAAAATAAAGCAGCAGAGCAAATTCAAGGCTTCCCGGTCAGATTCTACACCAGATCCATTTCATTGGACAATAATTATGGGTATGAATGATATGGTTTGCCACAGGCGAACATAACAGATATGACCTTACTTAGTTAAGAAGGTTTTCGACAACTTCCAAGATGATACAGTCTATTCTTCATGACGCGTCACGTTTACACACACTTCGGTCGAAACAAAGGCGCTTTATGTGTTTGGTTGGATTAAATATGAAATTACTCAAAACTTACCAACAAGAAACGTACCCAACATACCGTTATTGTAGAATGTGAAGGAGGACCTTTTCTATGTGCCCAGCTATATCTCAGTTTCTTGCAAGGGGTTTTTGCTATCAAAAACTAATATGGAGTTGTCACGTTCGGGCTCAAACGTTTACTCGTATTGACTGAGTTTCATTACGATCGGTATAACACGACTTTGAAAATGAATAAAACGGAGTTCGCCATTGAATCTGTAGTTCTTGACTTGCTTCCGTCTTCGAACATACTATTTGTGATCGCTGCCGTCCTACCTACGGGGTAGGACCACAGCTGGGAACAAGGCCGTGCTAAATAAACTCATGTTATGGAAAATGAAACGGTAACTGTCATTAAACTATACAGCTCACGTTTTGCAAGCCATGTTTAAAGGCAATAAATATTGTCTTTGCAAGCCGGCTTGCAGAAACAATGAATAGATCATATTTTTTCTTTTATCTTTCTCGTTGGACATTAGCGATGGGCTCAATGTGACAGGTGACATAGAATCTTTCAGTGGAGATCCCGGAGAACAGGCAGAAACAAAGATCTTAGCGTTTATCAAGCGAATCCCAAAAGCTCAGGAGGTTGTTTGTTGTATGTGTTGAATGGAAAAGGTCGTGTCTTTTTTATCCAACATGCGTATATATATATATATATACTTGAGCCTTCGCATACTACAATTGAAACGAATTCACAGACTGTAGGCCATACGTCACAGTCGGGATGTACGCCAAAGAACTACGTACGTAACGTCGCGTACTGCATATTCAGCGCTGACGTTACGAAATGTATCCAGCATCTATCTGTTGTCTTGACAATGTCAATTTTGCCAGAGTTGTTGCCGACCCCAGTCTGAGCGTCTGCTCGTTTGCTTGTCATATGCTGCACTCCTCTTTCAGCCTTCGACACACGCAATCTATCTCTGCGTATGTCACATTTGTCGAAGTGCGCTAAAATGAATGACTGACTCAATGAGCAATTATTAGTCAACTACGACAGGCAACATGTAGTATCTATGCCACCCCTGTTGATTCTCTCACATCCTGTCACATTATTATTTCCCCATCGTTTTCTACTCTGTTCGCTTTTTCTTTATGCTATCGATTCAATTAAATAGGACAGTTTGTTTTTCATTAAGTGTGAGCTCGGCAAACATAATGATTTCTCAATTGGGAAACTTCCGGACGGACAACGCTGCTATTGACTGACTGGCCCGAACGTATAAGTGAAATGTAAAAAAAAAATCGATCCACATGGTTATTTCAACCATCGAGCAATATTAGCAAGTATCTCCTCCGTCACGAGACAGTCACGCCACGACGGAGCGCGTACTCCCTTCGTCCGATTGCTTTGCTATGCTAGCGATGATACGAGACACAGCTTCGATGTTTCACCAGCTCTGATACTGCGAAGCGACAGACAAACTAATCAAGGAATAAGTGTGACATGTGACGAGGTCACGTGTTGCGACATCCAACCGCAACCTATCAAATGTGACCTTTGCCCCGTGGAATCTTCATCTCGTCAACAACATACTCTTGTCGTTCTCAACATCATGCATTGTTTACGTCAATTATTAAGTAGGTGTGGACTTTCGTACATCCTATAGGATCAGCAAAGTCGACAGGTGTACTATCAGAAAAGATTATTTCCCACTGAGTTCCTCGTCTCGATCGAAAATTTCTACTAATGTAGTGTTTTTGTCTAATCTAATCTTGGAGCCCTAACTGAATCGAAAGAATAATTTGTCTTTATTGAGTCCTTGTTGTGCTCAGCAACAAATATTGAAACTGCCCGAGGTACTACCGGAGAAAACAAAACAAGTATGCTAGAAAGAAAATTACGTCCTGCAAAATTAACTTACGTCACGACAGAGTATTACAAGTGCTAACATTAAGTAGAGAGCTTCTTAAGCCTGGCTAAACACTTATCTCGAGATTTAAAAAGCTGAACCTCTCGCTAACGGTATTTTAACTTTTTCTTTTGTCTCGTTGCAGTCACCGAGAAAGAAGTTAGACAATGGTAAGTGACTCACGTCGGAGACGGAAGCCGGATGATCGAACTTGTAAGAATCTGCTCTTAAGACGATGCTTCTTTATGTTATGATTGAAAGCGCTACATACTGCATTTGACTTATATGTAAATATTCATAGGTGCGGCAAATGTCACTGTAATTTGGAAAGATTTAATAGTCATAAAAATAGCAGCGCCTTTATTACATCAGTTTAGCTTTAAAAGGTTGATATTATCGTTTTATATTTTGCGCCTATATATCGTTTCGGTATAAACGTTTGAATAGAATTACGAGTGTGTATCAATGATTCGTTAAAGAAAAACATAAGCAGTAATTCTTTCGGCCTAATGGCTTTCGAATATTCAGATTATGTCAAGCTCTGAGGTTATGTACAACGAACGATTTTTTTTTGTCGTTGGCATGGTTTTTCTCTGAACGATTGGTCTTCAGTGGCTGCAGTACGATCATCACACTCGAGATATTTTGTGAACGATTGCATAAACACGCATTAGTTTAATAGCACATACAGGCAAAGGTAACTGAGAAAAATAATCCTAAAAGACAAAATCTACATACAATAGTTATCTCTTAGTAAACAGAGCGACTGTAGAGCTTCATTATAGCAAGTGTTATTCTCAGTTTTTAAGGACAAATTCGTCAGCACGATACGGGTCCTCGTATCGTAGCCAAAATTTCCAATGTGTTTTGCATTTATCCAAGCAACGCAGAACTTTTCGAGATCATGAGCTGGAGAGGCTGCCGTTCGCCATTGTGATATGAATGAACCAGTTTGTTTGAAAATGAAATGTAGTAGTAATCTGTGAAGATGGCCTATCTATATAAGCGGATAGCATCCTAAAAATGCTTAAGCCGATTAAAATAAGCTTTATGAAAACTCTGAACGGTGTAAGCGATGGGAAGGCCTAACAACTAATGAAGTAAGCCAATGCCATATTTGACGCAAACTTAGTAATAGATGCGATCACTGAAGCTAGTAGTCAAATAGGAATATATTTACTTGAGCTGAGTCCTCACGACGAAAAACACGCTGTATATACGTGTCAAACACGAAAAGTGCCTGGCATCATCCCAAGACAAATGATTTCCGCTAGTTTTAAAAGCCAACGTTTAGAGGTATCTCTATGTGTGTCTCTGTATATTTTTATAGTTGAATGTATACACTTTCTCTGATTTGACTGGTTTGGACGCCGCCATCTGCTTTTGAACTGTAGGTGATTTAAGCCGCACTGAAAATGAGTTCCTTTGCTCGGAAGGAGACCAGCACAGCAGCAGTCGCTTCATCCGACCCCATCTGACAGCAACAGGGTTAGCCAAATTCTAGCTTCTTGCTTAAATCAGCCGCAGAGTTCCTATTCATCCTTTTTCTTCCTTCTGGAAGAGGGAAGATAAAGTTTAGCGATTTGGGCCACTCCACTTCTGCCTCGGCCTTACCTAGATACGTAGCGAATTCATACGGCGGTAAAAGCCAACAACAATCCCACATCACAGTTTCTCCCCGTCCATGCCGTCGCGACATTCATCACTCCATTCTTGCTGCATTTTACAGACAAGAATCATTTCGTCTCCTTTTTCTCGCTGTCTCCGCTCGTCTCCAACAGCCAGCTCAGGTTCTCTACTTTGCTCTCCTCGACTTACGTGCATAGTATGTGGTTAGGGGATGGGAATTCCCACTAGAATAGCCCTGGCTGTTTTCGGTCTAGCGATTGTGGAGTTCCAGGTTCTCTTGCCCCGCTATTGCTGTTTCCCCTTTACCTACTTCTCTGGGGAACAATGGAAAATATCCGTTTACTGCAACCTACGAAGCTGTACTCACTGTCGCGATTGTCAAAGAAGAAGTTACTTTTTTACACGCGCACCCTTACCTCCCTTCCGACATATTTTCAGCTCTGCATCCGGCGTCTGCCTCTTGGTGCGTTGGCTGGGCCTCCGGGCATCAGGCCGACTGCGTTATCCGAAAGAGTTAAGGAACGACTGCTGGCTCCTCTGTCGCCACTACCGCACCTTTCGTTCAGAGTAAAGGTGCGGCTCGATCCGCTTGGCTGGCCGACCTAGTTCGCCTTTGAAGAACAAGCAACTCGTTTCAGCGTGATAACGAAACAGCAAGTTAATGGTAATTGTCCCTGACCCAGCGATCGGCCGACCTAACGACAAGACCGGCGCATAGAGAAAATTGCCAGTTAGATGTCTGTTCTTCCCTGACTGCTAACCACCCGTCCCTAGTTTCCTACCTTGGACATTCTCCGGTAGTTCGTGCTTGGCGCTTCGACCCTCTAATACGAACTCATCTTTCCTTTACGGCTACTCATAGTCTAAAGCTCATTCTCGTCTTTTTGTTAAGAATAGCCTCGCTGACGACCACGGCTGCGGTTGCGCCCGCCTTCGGCTGTGACACGTTCGTAAAGGTGGCGGTAGTTTATTCTTCAGTTAATCAAAAAAAAAAAAAAACAAATCATTAGAACTTACGTCAGCCGCCCCGTGTCACAATACCACTGCACGCGGTGAGTCTGAATCAGTAGACAAGAAGAAATATGTAAATAATACAGGGCTATACAAAATGGGCATCTGGGCATGAATACATTAGTAATTACAGAAAAGAAGGTACTGTATGCTATATAGAGCTACACATTTAGCCTATTCTTTGCACAGTGACTACAGTTACAATATATTGTGATAGGTCGTGAAAAAAGTTCATATACGACAGCGAGTGAGTATGAAAAGCCTGTTCATTGGAAAATCCTGATTTATCCTTTAGCATATTCAGTTGTCTTAGTTTCGTACTTTTACGTAGCTTTATACGGTTAACTTATTCAGTTGAATAAATCTTCTTCAGCGTTTTCGCTTGGGCAGAACTTTTCGTCCTGCTAGCAGTGAAAGGATACTGATAATGTATAGAGCCAGATTTGTCGAGATGGTTATCTATTGTTTCGATCCAATAAGACCATGGGTATCTTTTATGTCACCACGTGCTCGTGCTTTTCAGGGCCACAGAGGGGCGATCTAAACTTATACACGAGCATTATTCTAGTTGAAGGTCAATGCGGACCTGAAAATGAGATTCCACGCAAACTACCAGATTTTTTCAAAGGAAATGACTCTAATACGTGTGGCTGAAGCGGTCCTATTTTTATTAGCACGAACGGACGTCTATCTGGCATTTGTTAGAGCAGGAGTTGCTTTATCGTCTCCTTTCCTGAGTGGCATAGTATAACCTAGTTCCAGGTACACAATTTAAAGACACAAAAGCGCCTTCGGTTAGCTGTGTATAGCAGCTTAGTCAACGAGTACATATATCGACTTCTGGGTAGAAACCATACAATATCGTTGATGTTAGATCACTTGCCAAACATCTATTGTTAACCACTTAATATGTAGAAACGTTTTCGTCTCTGTTAGTATTATAGGTAGTACGCTAGGTACGAGGGCCGGCAGAGTGATACATAATGTCATTTGGCGCCTAATGCCACAGTAGAGTCGCCGTTCTTCGCAGAATCACTGGGTCAAAAAAAAGAAACCCGATTCTTGGTTCCGGAAACGCCGTTTTTAGTGCGCTATTGCCAAACGTTTACAATGCTCGGCTATAGCCTCACCGTAGTGTTCTGTCTGAAGTGAAGCTCTCTGGCTACAATACCTCAACAGCGTGAGACCAATTGCATGACCCTGAATTTAAGCTAATTTGGGTGCATCATATTAAAGAAACGTACAGATAAAATTAACACATTAAACAAACATTCATGGACATGAGGTGATTTGTGAGATCTTCGGCCGATCCAAGGTAAAAGATCGCTCGAATTTTGAGAATGTCATATCACTCGCCTTTCAGTGGAATAGCCGTAAATAAGTCTGCAGTAGTTTTATCGGATCGCCTAATATAGTGATGGTCACATTCGCTATTATTCCAGGACATAACTTTGGAAAATACTACGATCAGGCTTAACATACGATGTTATTTCATATTTTAATTATGCATCTTTACCGGTCGTGCAGATACAAATCCCTCCAGCCGACGGACCCGCATTCGTGACTGTTATAACTCTGTCATCCTGCTATAACTGCAGGATCTTATCAAATACCTGTTTCAGAACCATCATCATCATTCGTCCGTACGGTCCGCAATATACGAGACAATTTTCAGCGTCCACACAACGTTACAATTATTACGAGCGTAGGGAAAATGAGAGAAAATCAAGTTAGTCTAGCCTATTCAGCTATGTGCCTTCTTTTAATAATGCTAACTTGGTTCCCGCAAGTTTCATTTCCTCGAGCCGTTTTGGAACTTACCCTCAATCCGTACGTATTATTTGTTTCACTTACGATTTACAACGGCGACTAGCATGTGACTATAGAACCACTGTTAACAATAAGACGCTGTTACGGCGAATTTCTTCAAACCGTGTCTTCGCAACGTCGTAGAACACTGATGTAGACACATGCCTCAACGGAGCTGCTATAGCAGCAGTGATTCACTGTGGGTTTAAACATTGTTACCATGGCAGCTATTGATATGGCAATAAAAAATTGACCAAATGCAGCAAGATCTTTTCCCTCCTCTTTGGATGGATTTTCCAAGAGCAAATGCCTGCGTCCGGAAGCTGATGTCTCCACGCACAAAGGGCCAAGAGTTTTTCTGAGTGTTTTTAAATCATAGGCAGCTATAATTTTAAAAAGATAAAAATCTATCGTAACGGCAATGTCATGTAGTGGGCGACAATAAACAGTCGACTCGATAAAAATATCCCTATCGAAAGACTACATGTGTTTTCTGCCCGTGTATTAAAGTTTATGAATAGCGTGTCCTTTTGTTTAGGGATGCGCTATATGGAAGAACCAATTATGGCATAAGAAACAACGCGCACGGTAAAAACCTGCGCCTAATTCTCATAAAAACGGGAAACGAAAACCAATGAACAATAGGTCATATGTTAGCCGAGCGTTCGCGTTCGGTCCTATATAGTTCTGAGCGCTTACGTACGGTACCCATAGTCCCCAA